AGAACGAGGATTCGTCAAGGGTACCTGCCTTCCGCTACATTTGGAATTTTTCATAATACTAATTTTAAAACTATGGCAATTAAAACGTGAAAATGTTAACAATATCTAGTTTTAGAAGCTAAGATCAGAGATAATTAGTTCACTCTTTATAATTCATAATATTTTCAAATCCTCCCTCCATCCTTTTTCAGGGGAAAAACAAATCACTTCAAACTACTAATTTACTGGGGAAAAGTTTTTTGTTGTTGTTTTGTTTTGTTCTTAGTCATTGGTAAAGGTTCTCAGAAAAACAGTTTCCTCAGCTAGACCACTTAAATCTGGCAAAACTAAGAGAAATGTTGTGAAAAGATTTCCTCAAAATTTCGTACCTCACAAGGAACCATTTTCAGCTTTACCGGTGGAAACGAAGCTTTATTCTCATTTTCTGATGGCTACTCCACTCCCGCCTTCACTGGGCATTTTGAGCGAGAGCCTCAGAAACAAACGCTTGTAGCCCTGGATCGGTCAAGTCCACATCACGCGTCAGGACGCACAGACCTACTCTTGCTGTTCTAGTTTTGAACTTATATACGGTGGGAACCAAAATGTCACCTTTGGGAAGGATGGATGAACCTAAAAGAGGATCTCAAATCTGCCTCCATTGTAAGAAAGTTTATTTATCTTTCGTGAGTACACAGATGAAATTCAGTGTTAATGAATGGTCTCAGAATATGTGCAAACTAATACTAAAATATGGAGAAGTGGCATATTCATCCACAATAATGCAAATATACATAAATCAAAATCATCACTTTGACCAAGAATCCACATACTCTAAAAAAGTTTTGGTAAAAATAAAACCATATGATTCCTTTTCCTAGTAGTTTCCTAAAGCAGGCTGGGGGTCAGGGGGAGGGGTTCCTACTAAAAATGAAAATGTATATAATATAGAAATTAAAATATATTATTATTATAGGTACACTCAGAAAACAAATGTATTTACGCTAACAAACATGTTCATTAAATTTACTTTGGTTTTGACAGTTACTTTTATTTTTAGGATTGTTGGCCTGAAGTGAAAATGCTCTTTATCCTTTTAGAAAGTATACATGATCTTTCATTAATTGCAGATTCCCTAAAACATACAGATAGTAATTTTATAAAGAAGTTTTACCAGATTCATACTTAGTTCCAGAACTACACCTTTAAATTCTATGTTGTGATGCATTTTAGTTAAGTGCCCTTATTTACTGCCTACACTCAACAAGAAAGTCAGTTCAATTTTAGAGCAGAAATGAATCTCAACAAAAAGGTAGATGACAAACTAAAGCTCACTGAGGTCTCATTACATAACAAATCAGCGCCCTGTCTGAGATTAGAACCTTAGGCTGCTGCTACTCAGCTGACTGCCTGTCAGGCTGAACTTCCCTTTTCAAAAAATACACTAGCCAAATCAATTCTGTTCATGCTCCATTGTATTATATTTATTTATTTCCCCCTCAACTCTCACCCATACTTTAAAAAGAGTCTAAAATACACCTTAGAGAACCATGGATTCCACTACTTTTTCTCTGGGTATCCACTTTTACATACTTTCCATCCATAATGATCTTCTAGTACATTCCTATAGAATAGGGACCTCCCCTGCCCCCAAATTAAGTCACACCAAACAAGGGTGACTCAGGGGAGATTTAAGTGCTCTGAGAATTAAGAGCCAGCCTCTCTTGTTCTCTCACTCCCTAGTTAAACTCAAGGAATTTAGATTGTTGGACAGTTTGCCTCTGTTTGCTGTTCATGTTTTCAGTGTTAACAGACAAGATGCAACATGCCAGACATATTTCTGGACAGAGCCAGGCAGGAATGAAGGCAGGGGGATTCCTTCAAGGGTCGCCCTTCCACATGAGTGACAATGTGTCATTGTTGGACCCCAGAGGCAGCTAACTCCCCATAAAGCTCTCATTTCAACCATGTTACTTCCTTAGGGGAAACCTAAAACATGTAGAATGATTAACTTTATGCAACAGAATTCTCCAGTGCAATTCCTACGTTAGCAACGAATTCTCCAGAGAAATTACTCAGGGCTCCCACCTCCTGCCCTTTTGCCTGTCTGGAATGAGGCAATCCTCCAATGAGCCCAGGCAGACTGTGTCCTTGGTGCTTGTAAAAAACATGGGTACTCAACACTTACCCATGGGACCCAGAAACACAGCTGGCAGCTGCTCTCTGCTAGGACTGATCAACTAGAGGTGGAGGTGACCGTACAGAAGATGTCTGTCATCTCTCTGCTACCTTCTCAGACAGAATTTTCACTAAGTTTGTGAGAACATAGCAGATGACAGACAGCTTGTCAACTAGGTCTGAGTGACTCCTTGGGGTAAAGCCCACAGGATAGTGAATAGAGACACTATTTCCGGTACAGACAAAACTTTGGAAAAGGGAGGTAGGAGGGAGAACGGAATATTATAGCTTCAACTTCTCTCCGCACCCAACCTCAAGTTTACACTCTTCACCCAAGTTCATTTTCTAGAGCTTTCCCCCAACTCTTAAAATAAATCTATGTCCACCACTATCCTATTATTGTTCCAAATTGCTTCTCTGGTTCTGGAATCTTTTCTACAAAAATTATGAAGAGTGGTGTCTATCATGTCGCCCACTAAGATATCACTGAGCTATAAGTACTGCACATAATTAGATATTTTTATCCTTCCCCATCAATCAGTGCCTCCTAAATTCAGTTTGTGGCTTTCAAGATTTCCCTTTGATGCATCTGAATAAGAAAAAAGATAAAGTTTACAAACTTTACTCAAGAAAGGCAGGCTCAGATTTCTGATCTGAAGTCCCTTGGGAAGAAAACAAAGTATTGGAATAATATTTAACGTGGATATTTTTCTCTCCTATAGCACTGACTATGCTTGTAGTGACTAGTGGTTTGTAACCCTTGTTGGTTTAGTTCCAATTCTGCACAGAAAATTACCAGACATACTGAAAAGGCATTGTGAGCAAACACTCTTGCTCTGAGGCCCCTTTTTACAATACTTTTCATGGAGCAATTCCAAACCCTTAAATTTAGCTGGCACAAGAAATTGACATTTTTTTCAAATATCAATTCTTAATTTTATAAGAAAATTTTGTGAGTTTTTACTATTTCCACACATAGTCATTTGTAAATATTACATTTTACAAATGTAGAAGATGAGAGTCAAAAGAGATTACTAACCTTCTTAAAGTTACCTAACCCAGACCTTTTATTAAACAATCATATTCCTATAGCAATTATTGTGTGGGATGTTTAAAGGTCTATGAAATAACATCTACAATCATCTGAACAGTTACAGCCAAAAGTAATCTCACTCAGCTAAGATTTGGGGACAGAAAGGGAGAAGGAAGAAGGAATTAGGAATTAAGAATAAAGAAGATTTATAAGTCTCACCCTGACAAGATCCTCTAAGTTAAAAACTGTTTAAACTTGGTCATTTTGCTGATTAAAACAAACAAATTTTATTCCTCAATCACAAATACACCACAAAATACTTCCTCCAGGAGGCAAAACTTTGAAATATATATTCATCATTGGAATGTCTAAAATGTAGGCTTGGTTGCAATCCACAAATTAAAGCTACAATCAATCATTTGGTGCTCCTGGAAAAATGCCATCAAATAAAAATTAATAATAAAATTGTATTTAAGAATTGTTCTTGCATCTACTATAATAACGATTTTCCCAGAGAATAATCTCCATAAGTGAATTTTTCAGGCAATGAAACTGGCATCAGTTGTACTGTTTGATTGGAACTGTTTATTTGTGAAACAGTTTGCACATATCCCTGTTTTCTTAAAATGTATGTGCTTTACACACATGTATTTCCTTTAATCCTATCAATAACTCCGTACTAGGTATTTCCATTTTCAGATAATAAAATTGGAGCTAAGAAAGACAGTGTTTTCCCCTACATTCACAAAGTTTTCTCTGTTTTTGAGACAAGGTCTTGCTCTATTGTCCAGACTAGAGGGTGGCGGCAACATCATAACTCACTACAGCCTCTCACTCCTGGGCTCAGGAGATCCTCCTGCCTCAGCCTTCCAAGTAGCTGAGACTACACGCTCTTGCCATCACACCCAGCTAATTTTCCTTCTTCTTTTTCTTTTTTTTTAAGAGATGGAGTCTCTCACTACGTTGCCCTAGCTTGGTCTTGAAGCAATCCTGGCTTCAAGCAATCTTCCCGTATTAGCCTCCCAAAATGCTGAGATTACAGATATGAGTCACAGTATGTGGCTTTAAAGAACATTCTATTATTTTATAAGTTATAAGACCCTGGGTAAAATTCTTAGCTTCTGTAAACTACTCTTTCCTATTTGTAAAGCACACAAAAACATACACCTGGAAGCAATAACCATATCAAATCTATTACTATTTTTACTTTATCACTGTCTATACACTAATATCTCTATTTTTATTGTTTTCAACTGCTATCAGACTAAGCAGGATTACTAAATCAGTAACTCCTTAACACAAATCAAAATTGATCATTTCTGGGTTGGAAATTGCCAATTTTTCACCTATGCAGTCAGTACACAGCTTTACATCTTTTTCATTGTTGAAAGCTGTATGAATTATACTGCACTGTTCCTCAAAGAAGCAGAAAAATAACCAAGACTTGAAAACTCCAAAATTCAGTTTAGTCAAAGTTCCGACATTTAAAAGTATTAAGTTATCTACCAGAAAAGACAGATGGAGAAGAATAGATTTGAAGTATGGCAAGACTCACATAAAGAAACAGGAAAGGAAAGGAAGAAGAAATAATGAGCTGAGGAAGCTAAAAGGGAGAAGAGACAGGAAGATGATGGAGCATCAAGATAATTTAGAAAACTCTGGGAAAATTCCTGAGCATTCATCGGGCTAAGAGGAGGTAGAGGCGGGTGGTGTGGACTAAGGCTACAGATGCACAGGAAGAACTGAGTCATTTTCCCACCAAAGTGAAATCTGATCTCAAAGAACTCCAATTCTTTTTTCTTCCACTCACCAAGTAGCCAAGCACACAGATTCATTAACTCAGAGTCACCTTCCTTGTTAGCCAGTTGTCAGAATCCTATAAAGTACACAAAAGTGCACAGAAAATGGAAGATTCAGACATTATTAAACAATATTAGCATCAGAATGGCTAAGTGGTGTCATTTCCTACTTTCAAGAAAATCTATAGAAACTAAAGTTATATAGATCTAGTATCAATACATAGAACACCCATATATAAATAATGTGTATAACACATTCTAATAAAACACAGCATCTAATTCAACAAGTATTAACTGATCACTTACACCTCCTAGGCATGAGACATAGGAAGATACTTGCACAGGGTCCTTCCATTCTCATTCAAATAAACAAGTATCTTCAAATCTAATTTTGTAGTCATGATGTTATGTTCATTAATTGACGTAAGAGGACCATGTCAAATTCTAAAAACATCAGGCCCCCAACAAGTCTTTATCTGCTGCTGTCACTGAAGCACAGGCCAGAGAAGAATAAGGACAGGTACCTAACTTTGACACTCTCAAGTTTGTGAAAAACAGTACAGGCAGTTCCCGAAGTACAAACATCTGACTTAGGTACAACTTGCACTTACGAATGAGGCTGTTACAGGTAATAGGTAAATGTACCTGTCCCCACTGACATAGAAATAAAACTCAAGAACAAACCTATCGGATCTATTTCATTTGTAACCCGGGGACTGCATGTGAGTAATTACACTCCAATGTAAGGGTCTAATTTCTTTTTTTTTTTTTTGCAGTTTTTGGCCGGGGCTGGGTTTGAACCCGTCACCTCTGGCATATGGGGCCAGAGCCCTACTCCTTTGAGCCACAAGCGCCGCCGGGGTCTAATTTCTAAGTACAGAGAAATCCAATACTGTCAGCAAGCATCAGAAAGAATGTGAAAGACATGTGACACATGAATTATTCTGAAAGATAAACGCATTAGGAGAGCATGGGAGAGAGGCTATTCTGAAAGATAAACAGATTGGGAGAGTATGGGAGAGAGGCATGAAAAGGAAAGGCATTTCTCACTAAGGGAAGGACATCTGCTAACGCGGAGGAACCAGAAGGGACTGGGAGAAATTAATGACCCTGAAGCTGGAGTACTTTGCTCCAGAATGACAGGAGCTAGGAAAGCAATGTTTCCATAGCCTCATTAGAACTTGTCCCTGCAGGCAAGGTAGAGCCTGTAGAGACACTGGAGAGGGAAACTGGAGGGTAGGGAATCGCTAAAATGTGTTTTCTGGAAAAATAATCCTGACAATAGGGTAAATAACTCACCAAAGAGAGGAAAGAAGTAATGATAATCTCAGCTGGGCCCTCACAGGAGGAGAGTCAACAGCCTCAAGACCACGTGTGGCCTCTAGATTCCCACATGTAGCCCCCCACAGACCTAATGTAAACTTCACAGAACCCCTTTATTAAAAGGATTTGTTCTGTAAACTTTGGATTCAGTCAAAAAGCTGCACTCAAGGATCCAGAAAGCCACATGTGACCCCAAGGTCATAGGGAAAGCAATGGAAAAAAAAGAAAGGAGACACAGACTCCTTCATTAGAGGGAATCCGAAAGACTCAATGACCCCTAGATGAGTGTTGGGGGCAGGAGGAATGAGGCAGAGACCGTAATACAGGGTGACTCTCCCAAGGTTTTTAATCTAGGAAACTAGAAATATCAGGACATAATTTAGCTGAAAAAAACAGCAGAAAAAGAAACATCATACGTTTTTAGATAAAGAGATGGAAATTACCCCTTTTAGAGACTCCTTTCTTGATGTGCCTCTAGAAAAAAGGAAATAGAATTTTAATTTCATGAAGGTAGACATGTTTGAGGTAACTGTTGCTTCCTTCTTCTCTTGGTGCTAAAATGGGGGCTGGTGCAGAGTCAGCACTTAGTAAATAGCTGCTGAAAGAATAAATCAGTTACACATGTGGATCTAAGATGAAAAGAACCTGGACATATTAAATATAAAAACAGGGACTCAGAGTTCTCTAAATTGTTGCTGAAGATAAAGGAGGTCAATCAGGAAGAAGGTACAGGTTAATAAGAGAGAGAACCAAGGCTGAAATTCTAGGGCACATAAACATTTATAAAACATGTTTTAGGTAAGAATTATTTTAGTGACAAAAATATTTTAGAACTAAAGACCCCTAATGCCTGATCACTTCAAAAAGAACATACTAATAAACACCCCACTATGGTCAATACATTAGGCAAGGTATAGTGTTACTATTTCTTTAGCTGATACTAAAAAGTGATTCCTATATCAAAGGGAAAACAAATTACTTATGGAAGATAATCTTAATAAGGTCAAATTAAATACAGAGGGAGATAAAAAATACTTCATCTTTTTCTTTTGTTGTTGTTGCAGTTTGGCTGGGTCCGGGTTTGAACCCGCAACCCTTGGTCTATGGGGCTGGTGCCCTACTCACTGAGCCACAGGCCCCACCCAATAAAAACTACTTTAATAAATATCAACTAATCATCTGTGAGATAAATTAAAAATTCCAGTGGGTCCAATTTCAGTCTTTTACACGTGGCTAACCAGTTGTTCTAGCAGCATTTATTAAATAGGATTCCTTTCGTCAGTGCATGCTTTTGTTTGGCTTATCAAAGGTCATATGGCAATATGTGGCTGAGTGCATCTCTAGGTTTTCCATTCTATTCCTTAGATCTCCAGTTCTACTTTTGTGCCAGTATCATACTGTTTTGATCACTATCGACTTGTAGTAAAACCTAAAGTGTGGTAATGTGATACCACAATCCCATTACTAGCTATCTACCCAGAAGACAAAAGAACTAGCTATAACCCAATTTTAACCCAGGAATATGGGGGGGGAGGAATAGGGGGAGGGTGGGTGAAGGGAGGGTGATCGGTGGGATCATGCCTATGGTTCATCCTATAAGGGTACATGTGAATCTCTCTAAATGTAGAATATAGAGGTCTTAACACAATAACTAAGAAAAAGACATGAAGGTTATGTTAACCAGTTGGATGAAAGTATTTCAAATTGTATACAGAAATAGTACACTGTACCCCCATGATAGTATTAATGTACACTGCTATGATTTAATTAAAAAATTAATTAAAAAGAATCGTTTTTCCACAAGGCCATTTGCACTAGAATGTTTATTGTAGAGCAACTCACAATTGCGAAATATGGAAGCAGCCCAAGTGTCCACCAACCCATGAATGGATTAACAAACTGTGGTATATGTATACCACGGAGTACTATTCAGCCCTAAGAAAAGAAAAGAAGGAGACATTACATCTTTAATGTTTACCTTGATAAGTTGAAACACATTATTCTAAGTATGGTGAGAATGGGGAAAAGTATCCAATGTACTCAATACTAACATGAAAACAATATATAATATCTTTATGTGTGCAAGCCCACATAAAAGAAAAACACAAGTAGATTCTAGCAAAGGAGAGGGGGGAGAGAAGAGAGGGAAATCAGCAGGCTCTCACCTAATGTGCACAATGTGAGGGTGTCCAGCACATCCTGTGGGTGAACAACTTGAACTTTACTTTAGAAATGAAAACAATGTAACCTAAACATTTGTACCCTCACATCATTCTGAAAAAAAAAAAACCAAACAATTCTAGTGGAATCGATAAAATTCCTGCAATCCAGGATGAAATAGAATCTACATATATGGAAAGGAATCTATTTAAAAAACATAAAATCCACCATGATCCTCTTATTTACCTGGGTTCTAAATCAAAACAAATTTACATCTGGATCTTCTCTTAACAGAACATAAATACACCCAATAAAATAAAAGTTGTCCAAAATAATAAAAGCAGCATTTTTCATAATCCACACTGAAGAATTATTAGAGAGAATCTTTAACTTCTCTGACAGCAAACAGATTCATTGATAAGGTTGTCAGTCACTGGTAGCCAGCATCACTGAGAATATACTGAGGAGAGTTAGCAAGAGAGACAAATTACATTTTTCTGGCAAGATTCCAAATAGTTCTGAGAGGAAAAACTGCATTTAAAAAATCCAAATTATTATGGACTTGCCCGAACATGAATCTTAGCCATATAAGATAAATAAGCATGAACCAATTCAATCCCCTAATTAGTAATTCACATATAATGTAACAAGCTACCCTATTTAGTTACCATATGTAATTCTGGGGATTCATTTGGGCCATCTTGATAACTGGTATTTTGTCTCTAAAACATTTTAAAAGGTCTTATACTCTTTCATTAAACATAACCATTTGCTTTTTAATTAACTTATCTACTATTTAGCTACATTTATTAACTCTGTTTTGCAATGGTACTCAAAGAACTAAATGGTAATATGACGATCTTAAACCAACTTTTACTTTTGTAATAACCCAGAGAGCACATCTGCTTCCAATAGTGTTTTGGTTTTTTTTTTTTTTTCGTTTGCCACTTAATTTCATTTAAGTGATCAGAAAGTAGGAACAAATACATAAACGTTAAATATGATCCAAAAAAGACTGAGTCCTTTCTAACCAGCATAACTTGTTTTCACAATACAACGAAGACATTTCTTTTCTTGATTTCAACTGCCCTTAAAGATTCATTTCATGGGCCAGACCTGTGTTATCCAATATGGTACCTGAAAGCCACATATAGCACTGGGCATTTGAAAAGTGACTAGTTCTGAATGGGATACCCTGCTAAGTTCAAAAGACAAAGCAGATTTCAAATACTTCGGTTCTATAAAAGCAAATATAATATTTATATTGATTATAAGTTGAAATATTTTGAAGAAATTGGGTTAAATAAAATACAATATTAAAATTAATTTCACCTACCTCTCCTTTTTTCTTTACAATGGCTACTATTTAACATTACGTATGTGACTTGCATTATATTTCTATTGGACATGGCTGATCCAGAATGCATGTTTGATGATCTCAGTTGTAACACGTATGTACAGAATGGCAATTACTGGAATCCTTTAGGTGCCAAATTACTCCTTTGTTATTCAATTCACTGTATGAGTATCCTATAAATGTGTCACAATGAGTGAAAGTCTATCAAAAATGTTAAGTATTATAAAAAATATAGAAGTGGGTGAGGAGTATGTGGCAAGCAGTCTGAAAATAAAACATTGAGTCCAGTACTGAAACAGACCATGCTACCCTTAGGACGCTTCCTAAGATCTGATACAAAAGTTTATGGTAAGCCTTAATATTTGCTTGATGTTTATTTTTACTTAATCATCTCATATCTTTAAGAATAAAGTATATTGCAATTTATTTTAAAATTACTAGTAATATTTTTTAAACTATTGATTTGCATATTTTGAAACTTTATCCAAAAGGGGCATGCATTTAAGAAGACTGAGAAACACTGTCAAATACAAAAGTGAGACACACACAGTTAAAACCAGGAGGATCAGAATATGCCACTTCAAGACATGCCACTTTGGCATAAGGATTATTTTGAGCTGAAGGCAAATGAGAAACAGAAGACAGAAGCGATCTCTGTCTTTCCCTTTTCTGCTATAAGCAGGACATACATTTCTCTTTGTAAATGTGACATAAATTTCCATTTACAAAGATTCCCCTCTGCTTCATCCATAAGAAAACAGAAGAAACAGAAGACAGAAGCGATCTCTGTCCTTCCCTTTTCTGCTATAAGCAGGACATATATTTCTCTTTGTAAATGTGACATAAATTTCCATTTACAAAGATTCCCCTCTGCTTCATCCATAAGAAAACAACTATTTTTGTGAAAATGGCATATAAGCCTCTTCCCTGAGGGCATCAAACCACTTCTTTGTGTTTTCACTTCTTTCTGTATAACCCCATGTAAGTGAAATCAAAATGTCAATTAAATTTATATGCCTTTTTTCCTGTTAATCTTTTATCAGTTTAATTCAGTTTTTCCTTCCCCGCCCCCATAAATGAAGACTGAATACACTATAAGACAATGTACAAAAAGCAGGAGAGTTCTGAACTACTTAAAAACTCCTTAAAGGTATATCCACACAACGACCAGTAATTGACAACAACTAGTAGGAACCTATGAATACAGGCCCAAAATTATTACACAGTTAAGGAAGTCAGACAGAAAAGAAAATATTCTGTATGATTCCATTCATTTAAAGCTTTAAATAATCCAAACTAACCTAAAGAAACAGAAAGCAGAACAGTGGTTACTTGAAGATAGGAGAGGAGGTAGAGGAAGCAGAAAAGGATTGCCAAGGGGCATGAAAAAAGTTTGGAGGCGATGGATACGTCCACTATCTTGATTGCAGGGATAGTTTCATATGAGCCAAAATTTAACAAATTGTACATTTTCAATACGTGCAGTTTGTGTCAAATATAAATTATACCATAATGAAATAGTTAAACAGACCCTCCCCACTCCTTGACAAAAAGGTGGACGCTAAATGTCCTGAGTTTAGGATTCGGATGCCAGGTGCTCACTGACATTTTAATGGAGCTGGCTAAGGCAAGATAATCTAGGTATCAGGAGACAGAGCCTCTGGGAGGTGATCAGACTACACGGACAGAGCCCTAATTAGCGCCTTTATTAAAAAGCCCTAGCAAGCAGCCTGTCCCTTGTACCACATGAAGCAACAACAAGGAGGCGTCATCTGTGAGAAAGTAGACCCTCACCAGAAAAGGAATCTGCTGGCACCTTGACTTGGACTTCCCAGCCTCCAGAATGGTGAGAAATGAATTAACATTTATAAGCCACCTGTCTATGGTATTTTGTTACAGTAGTCCAAACAGGCCTGGCAAGGTATAAAAGAAGTTCAGCATATCTTACGTACATCTGAGAGGATTTTTTAAATTATAGAATGACCTTTATGATTCCATCATCATGGTTTTGT